AAATGGTCCTCAAAATTTAATCAACTCATCATGGATATGAGGATTTAATTCTAGTCATTAGATCCAAAGGAAACGAGAGAAACAATTCAAAGAACAAACAATGTCACAATTTAATCCAAATAAAACATCTCCAATTAATTAATTCTTTTTTAAATGAAAAATAAACTGAAAAAATAAAATAAAAATTCTATAAAATAAAAGACGTTCCAAAGAGTCTAAAACATATTATTTTGGAGTTTTATTAATTGGAGAATTAATTTATATTGAATTAATTTGAAACAAAAAATAAAATAAAAACAAAAGAAAACAAAAAGAAAATGAACAAGGCCACAGTGCAGGAAGCAGCCCAAACTAGTTCAAAAAAAAAATTGGGCCAGAAAGGGGGTGCAAGTAGCAAGCCTAGTCCCAAGGCGTCCAAAAAAACTCAGGTCAAACAATAGTAATGTGTGGCCGGTCAACAGCAGCGCATGGTAGGACTCAACCAACAGCCATAAGATTAAATGGTAATTAAAACAAACGGATCACGGTGCACATAAGTGAAACGCAACGTTTCACTTATGGATCTGATGAGGCCAAGTCAAACGCAACCCATGATACGTCTTAATCTCAGGCATTGGTAAAAAAAAGTAAACGCATCTAACGAACACAGCAAAGCCACGCCATCAAAACAATTCAAATATTCAGGAACACAACAAAGTAAACGCATTGTCGTCTTCTCCGATCATCCAAAACGATGATGAATAGTGCCTTAAACACAGCCATGGCAATAGTGGACCAAATCAAGCAAAGTTTACGTCCAAATTCATCTACCTCTCACGTAGAGTACATATATGCCATCCATTTTCATTTATCATGCATATACAAAGCAAATCGAAGATAAAAAGAAATCATGTTCATACTGAAAAGTTCATAATCAGCAACCAAATGAACCCAGAATCAAAGCATGAAGTTCATACATCACATACACATAAAAATGGCGTGCTAACATGGCTTAAACAGAGAGAATGGTTGAGAAAAAGTTTACCTAGTGGAGAGCCTCCAATGGGCCTTGCTCTTTGATGAAGCTTAGAGAAAACCACCCAGAATCACTCCTTGTTCTTCAGTGAAGCTTTTGCTATGCTCAATTTGGCTTGAAATGGTGTAAATCTCCAAAATCGTGTTTCACTTTTGCCTTGCTTTTTCTCAATGTGTTCTTGCTGATTTCTTCACCAAAAAAAGCCTCCTCTAGGTCTGAGAAGCTTGCTGAGCTTTTATGTGATGGATTCAGATGGAAATGAAGCCCAATTACATGCTGTTAAAGCCCAATTGCAATTTCACTTTTTCCTTACTTTTTCAAGCTTCAAAACCGTGTGTGTTCAGCTGTAACAGCCTCAAAATTGTTTCCAATCATTTGCACATGGAATATACTGATCTAAGGGCCAATAATCCTTCCTTGTTTTGATCTTAATGGTGGATTTTGACTTTGTTACTTAAGCTTGAAGTACACATTAAAGTTGCATGTCAGAACTCCTCAAATCAAAATTCTAGAAATTCCATTGTATTTAGAATATAATTTGCACTCAAAAATTGCATAAACTTGGCACAAAGTGATCTCAAATGAATTTAGTTTGATTTTCTCATTTTAAGGCCTTTTCCATGAAAATCACTTTAGGAATTCTTCAATCCAAGCTCCAGACATGACAAGAGATGATTTTGTAATGGAAATGGCCCTATTTGGAGCAAGTTTGATGTTGGAAAAATCTCCATTTGAAGTGTGCAAGTTGGTGAAATGGACCTATAATTATATGACCTATAATCTCACTTTCCCAAAATACCCCTGACTTGCAAGTCTCATAACCTGAGTTCTACAAATAATATGAAATACTTCCAGTACTCTTTGGAAAGCTAAGATCATGAGGAACAACTTTCATGTTCATCAAAAGTTGAGGAGAAACATCCTTCTAGGTCAAAAATGGCTTGGAAGTTGGTTGACGTTTATTGACCAAAATCACATTCATTTGAGGACCTGTAATTTGTCAGCATCATAACTTGAGTTCTTGAAATCAGATGAATGACTTCTAGTAATCAAAGGAAAGCTAAGAACATGCTCTAAAAGTTTCATTACCATGTCAAGATGAGATGAGACTTCTATCTTGAGAAAGGTGGGCTTGAAGTTAGGGACTAAACAGGGGATTTTACACTGAGAACCCTAATTTAGTAACTTCTCACACTCTTGATTCTTGATGAATTGATCTTGAAATGATATATTATACATCTCAAAACAACATCCCATGACCATAGAGACTTGGAATTGAGTTTTAACCTCCTTCAATTTCACAGTTAACTAAGGATTTACCAGATGAAAACCCTAGATGCAACATTCTTGACTGTGGCTTCTTCCACCTCACACAACAACTTGAATAAGCTCCAACATGGCTCTCAAAGCACTCAATGAGGTCTCTCAACATCCCATATCCATAATTATGAATTCACAACCCTCTGATGCTCTTCAACTGGCCTCCAAGTTAGGAGCTGACCCACATACATTCATCCATGCTTTCACAAGACTATTGACCACTTCTAGATGACCTGATGACCATTCAAACTTGAGTAACATCCCTTTCTTAGCCCACAACCTTTGGTAGTCTCTCTCTTCTAATAACAACTCACTTGATCCCCTGTAAAATGAAATATGATATGCAATGCAAATGCTAGAACAATGCAATGAAACACAAACCAGGTAAAGAAAGGTTGAGCAAATTTTAGGGTACAACAATCAGCACCTGAAACTTCCTGAATAACAGTCCTCTGAGGTGGCTCTCCTCTAGAAATCAGCACTTGAAGCCTGGTCATGTCTGGTTTCAACTCATCAATCTTCGTTCTGACTTCCGCATTATGTTCCTCTTGTTCGGACATCAGGAGTCTATAATTAGCTCTAGTCTGATATCTATGTCGAGGAATCAGCTTGACGACTCAAAGAAGCACTGGAAGGTAAGAGGACCGAGAATGAGAAATAAACAAAGTAGGGGTAACCCTTAAAAGTTAGGTCCCTAGTGAAGTCGCCATTTTCTGTTGCAGTGGAAATAGGATATCAAACTATTAATTAGTTTGAATGACATTTTTAATTCACAACCGATCTTTGATTTATCTGAAGGAAAAGGTCAAATGAAGGAAAGCCTATTTTTGCATCGTAAACACAATGCGGGGAGAGACCTAGGTAAGGGGTTGGTTAAGTTTAGGGAAGCTACTAGCACCCTAAACTTCTGTAGTCCTCTACAGGAACCTTTTGTTTATTTTTTACTATTTACTTTATTATCTGCTTGAAATATATACTGAGCTAAGGGTTAAGAGTGACAAAGAGACCTAAGGGTTAGTCCTAAGTTTACTCGCCAAGATTCGCATCTTGTGCCTACGTATCCGAGGTAGGGGATGGAATCAGAGTAATCATAGTTCCCCTCGAAAGGGAGGTTAGAAACTTCTTGACTGTGGTAAAGGTTTCAATGGGGAGTAAGCATTTCTTATGGAAACGCTTACGTGGAGTGCGGAGACTCCTATTTCTACGTTGAAATAGTTTGAATTGAAATTAGGGATTCCTCGGCGGGAAACCCTAAAATAGAGTACGACGACTCTTTGACCTAAAGCTAGAGTAAAGAGAATTTTCGTCCACGGCGGGACACCTAGACTACTTAGGGTTTTGAAACAGTCAAAGATTAGGGTTATTGACTCGGCGGTGAAACTGCTGGACCTAATCCTTCGGAAGGTCTTGACGGTAAAAACATGCAAACAACGAATATTATCATATGACAGAATTAAAGTACGAATATAAAGAAAGCTATAAAGCAAAATCATCCTGACGATCACTCGCATAAATTACAAATCCCAACAATGCCAAAAATAAATAACTGCGACGATTACTCGCATGATTACAATTGAAAAATTTATAATATGAAGAAACATTGATAAACTGAAATGAAACAAGATGACAGGGGTTAGAGAGTAATTGAAATAGCTAACCCACGGTTCTATTTTTGAATTTTTATTTAAGGAAAAAGTTAATTTTTGTATTTTAAAAGGAGAACTTATTTTAATTTTAATGTTTTACTTACAAAAAATTGTTTTAATTTAGTTAAGAAAATGTTTTAATTTTAAGGTTTTATTAAAGAAAATTTGATTTTAATTTTAAGACTTTTATTAAAAAAAATTATTTTGTTTTTGAGATTTTTATTAAAGAAAATTTGTTTTGATTTTGGTTGTAAAAAAAAGTTTTACTTTTGATGTTAAAAACAATTTTTAATTTTAATGTTTAAAAAATGTTTTAATTTTATTACAAAGCACTTTAGACTTTAATTATGAAAAAATGGAGTTTAAGTTTTTTATTGAAAATAGAACTTTTAAAAAAAAGTCTTCCACTAACTAATTAAGAAGAAGTTTGTGTTAACTAGAACGTTTTTGTTAATTGATTAAGGAAATTATTTCTATTAACTAATTAAAACACATTC